TTAGGAAAAGGAGGGGGAAGAGATCAGCTAATAACAGTTGACATTGGGCAGGCATAGATTTATGAGAGGTTGAAAGTCCAGAACACAAACACTATCAACACTACAAATACTACTAAGTGTTAATATGATCATGGATGTTTGAAAGTCTGAGTCAATAACTGTTTTCCTTATTCCATGTATGAAGAAAAAAGAAGGGATGCCATTCACTGTCCAATAGATTCTCCATCTAGCAGAACATGTTCAGAGAGAATTGTACAAAAGAATTAAGAAATAAAAAAAGGGAGTTTGATGCATCCGGAACTTAGCTCATCCTTCTGTTAAAGTTTCACATGATGAAGATGACATTTCTTTACCAATAAAAAAAACTCCACACTTCACATGCCACCCCAAAGCAGACAGAAAATGTGCAGCATGCAATTTTAAGAATAAAACTGAAGAAAAAAAAAAGGGGGAGGAAAATCAAAACAGCATCCATCTTACCAATGAAACAAAAAGTGACCTACTAAAATAGGAACAGTACATCCTGTTTACACTAGTAGTGAAGCTGTTTGGCTTGGAACCAACCAAACAGAGGTTAGTAAGGGAGGGAAATGGCTTTGATTTATGTATTTGATCATTTAGATGAGAATGATATTTTGCTTACAGAAAAAAGGAAGCAACTGTGAAAAAAGAGAAAAGACAAAAATGGATCCTAAATTCTAGATCATCACAAAGCTTTTAATGATTGAAACTATAAAATGTACGCAATGTCTTATACCGGCAAAAAAGGAGAAAGACAAAATAAGATAAATGTTGTAGTGTGGTGCTGTTTATTCTGTCACATGACACGCGTCATTTGTTCTGTAGCTCAACAGGTTTAGGAGTAATACAGGTAAAAATCAATAGTGCAAAAGAGAATGTCAGCCTGAGTCTAAGAGAAAAAAATACAATGGTTTGCAGAGTTGATCTAAATAATCTTTTAAGATTAAGGAGTGATTTTACCCTTTATATGATCATTTAGAAAAGGTGGCCAAATTGTACCGCGCTTTCCTGAATAAATGCTATAAACACAATTTTAATTTATTCAAGATAGCCTTCAGAACACACAGTAGGACAATATATGTCAGTGATACAACATATGACAAAAAAGTAATCTTTTTAATCGTAATTTAAAATTTGTTGTTCTATATCTAGTTGTAATTGTTCTGTTTCAGACTTAAAAAGTTCAGTTTAGGCAACTGGACGTGAAGTCTTGGTCTCTCATCCAAGAGGTTTCTTCATAACTAGTGACGGGGATCACTGGGATTAGGCAACTTGTTATTGATAATACAATTCATTACAGAGATAAAATACATTGTAAACATATGATTACAAGTATATTAAACTCAAAAACAAGGTCAAATTTGGAAAATAGGCTATAATTTGCCCTTTTAAACTAATAAAAATAAAACTGTGGTGCTGTCTCCTCTTTAACCACTAGATGGTGCCAAATGACCATACGGATTCCTTACAAATAAATCCAAAAAGTTGAAGGTTGGAGCTTTCATGTTGTTTCTGATGAAGGTGCACTCTTTGGACTGGTTATATATATATATATATATATATATATATATATATATATATATATATATATATATATATATATATATAAAAGCTTTATTTATCCCAAATATATTTCCTCAAAACTTGCAACAGGTTCACTGTAATCCAGAGGCCTCCATAGTCAGGAGACAGAGCATCTTTGGGAGGTAGAGGAATGGGAAATTTTATTTTGGGGATGTAAAGCTGTCAAATCTGCAATGGTGTGATGCTCAGGCAGAAAAGCTCTGAAGAATNTATATCATTACCAAAACTTTGGTTGATGTCTATTATTAAAACTGGACTGGAATATCTCTAGAAACTAGAATATGAACCCAAAGATCCTCTTTGACAAGACTGGGAGACTGAATAAGGTATTGAGGCTGCAGAAAAGAACAGATAAGTGAAAATTTTCAACTGCAGCAGATTCCTTGACTTAATAAAATGGAACTATTAATTTGTTTTTTGCTTTCCTTTTCATCTATGCAAAGTGATTTACAGTTTTATTAAATCATTAAATCAAGGGTATGAGTGAGAAGGTTTTTTTGTGTAGTTTTATGCTTGAAAATATATTAAGTGAACCTATTTAATATCCTTATTATTACAAACAGCAATTATAATAGCAGCCACTCAATGCACTCAGGCACTGAGATATGACTTCCTAAAGTTCAAACCAAGCATGAGAATGAGGAGGATTCATTTAGAACCAACAGAAAAACCAACAGAAAACCATAAAGATTAGCACACCTATCAGAATAGGACACTAATACTGTAGATACTGTGATAAATCAAAGAAAAATATAAGTGTCTGTGTATCAATTCCAGCTCCAACAGTCAGATGACAGGGTCATAATGTGTGATAAAAAGACATCCCCATTCTGCTTTCACAGGAGGTTTATGGTGAAAGAATGGGGATGTGAAGGAGGAATGGCATATTTTATTTTGGGGATGTAAAGCTGTCAAATCTGCAATGGTGTGATGCTCAGGCAGAAAAGCTCTGAAGAATTAATGTGAACATTTGCTGAATCGGAGCCTCGACATTGAAAACTATCCTGAAACTCCTTCCAGTA